TTCCATTTCAGTGTTCTAAATTATTGACCCTAACCAATTTTCTGCAAACTGCACATATATTACATAACTCACAGTATTTGCTTTATTAGAAACACATCCCTAATATAATCGCAGGTAAACCAACAGTTGCATGTACTGTATACTGGATAATTACAAGTATTCATTATTTTAGCCATAGCCAATTAAACAAATAAAGCAAATATTCTAATAGTCACGCAATTTCAATTTGCTTTGTATACATTTTACATAGTGATGCAAATGTTGTGGTATACTGGCATTTAAAGGAGACAAAGCATGGGGTTACTGATTAATTATCTTAATAATGAGTATAATGAGTTAACACTGTACAACAAAATTTAATAAGACAGACCCCTTTTGAATTTCAATATATGTAATATATTTGTTAATCTGTAATAATTTTAATTAATTTCTTCAACTCATACAACATTCTATAACGAAATTTGTTTTTTATGTATAGCTAGCACAAAAAATTCATTTGAAACATGTGATGGGTTTCGGGTTTAGTCTAATATATAGTTACCTTAGTGTCTGTCATTAATCAGTTTTAATGACCTTCAGAAGATTTAATTTACTTTCAGGACTATTTATTTACTGGATACCCATATGTTTCTTACACATGTACTGCAGTTTACTTTGTTGTACTACTGATATACAAATTAGCACCAACAAAATTTGTGTGTTATTGTAGTATTCCATGAGTTTCAAAATACATAATATTGAATATTATAAAAATTGGTATGAAAAAAATTCGTTTTATTCGAACTATGAAAGATCATACACAAACATGATGTATATGTTGTATTTTCATAAATTATCTTTGCCCAGTGGGAAAAATTGTGCTACAGGATAAAATTTACTGCATCTCTCGTGAAAATAACTTCCATAGCCCTACAAATACCAAATATATGACAATTATCATATCACTCATATTAAAGTTGAGATCTGAGATGACTTCATACAATAGATATAGGATATTTATGTACCTGGTGGGCTAATGTTTTGCCGAATGGTGATCTTTGATGAACTCTAGCACACATCATAGCTAAGGTTATCTCCGAAACACCAATACACCTCATGCAGTGATGAATACGACCAGGTCCTAGACGTCCTTGTGCAATCTCAAAACCTCTACCTTCACCTGTGAAATGAACAGTACAATGAAAAAATGAAACGTACAGAAAAAAATGAACAATTATTCCATTTTGTCAAAAATGCAGATTTGTAAATCTCACATAATCTGTAACATAATTGTAGATAGTAACACAATTATTCATATAGATTGTAAAATGACAAAGTTTGGAGATGACGAAAGGGCCTTCCTCAGCTATTGAAAAGTTGGTATGTATTCAAATCCATAAATGCAACTATAGTAGTTATTTGACCTTTAACATTTTTGAGCCACTTAGGATTTGTTTGGATCAGTAATTATCATTTAATGTATTTTTACTTGGTCAACATTACATAACAGAATAGTGTGGATTTATAGATATAAACCAAAATGTACATCGAGCTAATGATTCTAATTTTAATACCCCTATTTCATTGATACATATGAATATATTAGCATCCTTACCAAGTATTATATTTGATAGAGGTACTCGAACATTCTTGAACTCAAACTCAGCATGTCCATGTGGGGCTTCTGAAATAGAAATGTACATCATCTCATAAATAAGGTGTCATCATACCTGATCGCTTTCGTTCCATCTCATCAACGAAGTTTCATCACATACTGCTAAATTAATGTCCTAACCAGATTCAGAAAATCAGTACCGGTAGATGTTCAGAAAAAAGGCATATAATATTGAATTCATTAGTTCTTGTATGTACAAGAGTTCACTTTGTTGCATCCTTGAAATTATACTCATTTCTATTGTCAATATACAAAAATTAGACTTGATTAGATGAACTGTACATGTGTATGTACCGGTATATAAAGACCATATTTTTAATGCATTGTCTGCTGAAAGCCTCCAAAGAAATGAATAAAAAATGAGGTCAGCAGGTTATGACGTAATGTGACCATACTGTTAATTTACCCTAATATATGAAGACAAATGACTGATTATATGTTTAGTGTTTTACGCTATAGTCATCACACTGAAAATTTCAATTTATCAAGACAAACTTCATGAATTCCAATATATTTGTTGACAAATTCTAGTCATGTTGTTATTCACAAAATAAATAACTTATGAACTTACTAATAAAAAGACACCAACAAATTGAGTAGTTTTACAGTTTTGAATGTATATATGTATATACCATCACATATTGTATATGAAATGCAAACAAGCAAATCATTTTTATTTCAATCTGGATATCATTTATGAAAAATGGAAAACACTAGATAAACATAAAACACATTATATCACAGTGTCTTCTCTTGACACTGAAGAATGATACCTGACGGTATTATGCCTCCTGTGGTACATTAATTGTTATCAGACAATATAGAGATAACGTAAAAAATATTAAAACACTTACGGTCATTCCCAAAAACTTGCAACATTCTGACAATTTTCACTCCAGGGGTATCAAGTGGCACAAGAATCATACTGTGTCGCTTGTGCCTGAAAATTGGGATTATATACATTTCTATGATTGGGTTATTATGTATTTACTAGCTCTGTGACCAGTATCTATGCATATATTTTATACTAAAAATAACTTAGCATTGATCAATTGTATTAAATTTTGACCACCAAAGTCAACTTTCGTCACCATTCACAAAATAGTTCTATATACCATATGTGCATATTAATTAGGTAATTTGCATATCATTAACCCTTTGAGTGATAAAGTCAACTTTTAACACGATTCACAAAATAGTTTTATATACTGTATCTGCATATTAATTAGGTAATTTACATATCATTAACCCTTTGACCACCAAAGTCAACTTCTGTAACCATTCACAAAATAGTTATATATACTGTATGTGCATATTAATCAGGTAATTTGCATATCACTAACCCTTTGAGTGATAAAGTCAACTTTTAACACGATTCACAAAATAGTTTTATATACTGTATCTGCATATTAATTAGGTAATTTACATATCATTAACCCTTTGACCACCAAAGTCAACTTCTGTCACCATTCACAAAATAGTTCTATATACTGTATGTGCATATTAATTAGGTAATTTACATATCATTAACCCCTTGAGCACCAAAGTCAACTTTCATCACCATTTACAATATAAAATCCACCTCAATTCAAAAATGTTATCAAGACCAACAACCAAAATAAAATTATGGCTATTTGGTCAAAGAAATTGGAAAAGAAAGTTTATACAAGCGACCTGATGGTTGAAATAATTTTACTGTTCTACAAGACTATCGTACTACCCATGTTGAGTAACAAACACTCAAACGACAAAGTGTGGTTTGGTTTTGCTGTTGAGAAAATGGCAATTTCTCAAAATGTACATCTCAAATATCAATGCAATCCAATGCAGTTGAAAAAAAAGTGAAAACAAATATTCGCCAAAAATAGAGAATTGAAGATATCGTCATGAAAGGAAGAAACCTGACTGAGATCCAACCAAGATACCTGCATGCCAACAACAAAACAATTCTTCTGGTAGTTTTCAAGAAGAAGTCGAAAATGCAATTGTTGATAGACATTGGACGGATGATAACAGAGGAGCTAAAACTTGGAAAAATTATAGTGTTCAAAAATGTCTAAATTAGGGTATTATATTTGGTTTACCTTGGTGTAGAATCATCACCAGTTCTTCCCATCAGTATAGCAACTTTACATCGTGGATCTCCAGCACCTGGCATAAGTACAAGCAGTAATTAGTATTAATGAATGGACTCAAGATTTATTTATTATAAATCAATGTATTCATTTGTATTTTAAGAACTGACCCATCACTATTTCAATTGTACATCTTAATACTACCCATGACATCATCACTTATAGTATGCATGACTATAACTTGATTATAATATTTAGGTTGTTGGAACAGGTTAGTAAAATTATACATATTCAGGTATGACTGAAACTATATTTAGTGTTTTTGTTATTCAAGCATTGCAACTAAACAACAAATTATTTATCTTCTATGCTTTTAGCATAGCACCACTAGACTTTCTAGCCAAATTGTTTCTGCACTTTTTTCTTATATTTTTTAATATTTCTGAAAATGAGCCAACAAACAAAATTTGTTTTAATTTTCAGTTTTTACACAGAAAATTTAGCTATTTTTATCCCAAACCTCTGAAAGATATTGCAGAATATAAACAGAACTTTTTTGTGAATTTGTGATAAAAAAGGGAACTGGTGGCGAAAAGAATACATGTATAGGTGAAATTTATATCATTCTATTTCCCAAGTGTTACATGCATTGAATTTCTCAGTTAATTGTGTTGTATAATATAAAATCACACAATTGCAAATCTAAGATTAGAAAAGTCCAATATATGCACAAGATCAGTTTCAAATATGCAGCTGACCTTGATTTCTAAAAACAGAAGGTGGTTTTCCATTTACTGTGAGATCTTGTCTAAAGTTGAGAAAATGCGTAGACAGAACATGTCTACCACAAAATATATTTTAAGGCTGATTTTTCAGAGGGAATTATGGCATTGAGATAGCATTACTGCATCAAAATTATTGTCATCAAAATGTGAAAATATCCCAAAAATATGTTTGTGTTTGTCAAATATATGATCCTTTGACACCATTACAATGCTATACCCTTTATTTGTTTTCATGTTCAATTTCACCCATAATACAGGATCTCGAAAAAAAAAATCTATTTCCCATGTAGGACAGTAAGGGAAGACATTAAATGAATAAAACTATGTTTGAAATTATGACATACCACTGCTCCACCATTTTCTTCCATTGATAACAAAACTATTGCCATCTCTTTGAATGGTGCACTCCATATTAGTGGCATCACTGGAAGCAACTTGAGGTTCTGTGAGACGTAAAGAGGTACAAGTTAATAAAACATGAATTATACTAGCCTGGATACTTGTACCTACCTGACAACCAATCCACTGGTGAGCCTCTCTCAACAGTAGTA